AAAGTCAGACATCATAACGCAAAAGATAATTCAGTTTAAGAGAAAAGTGGGCGGGACCTACAGGCTCCTCCCACTTTTTCTCACAATTCTCACAGAAACAGATGTTAATCGACAAATTTTCTCTATCACCAATATACAAAGTATCCCGGTCAGTATTGAAAGGTTCCGAGGCGGGCAAAATCCAATCCAGTGTTACAACTGCCAAGAATTTGGACACAGTCAAAGATCATGTAATTCACCATCAAGATGTGTTAAGTGCGCCGCCAAACACCGATCATACGAGTGCCAAAAAGATGAAAATACACCACCTAAGTGCAGTAACTGCGGAGACTCTCATACAGCCAACTACACGGGGTGCAGAGCCCGTCCCCGCAGGAGGGGAACACGTGCCATACCACCACCAACAACAGGACTTGCTCAAAGGTTGGTTACAATAATTAAAGAATTGCAAGAACTTTTAAAAAATCAAGAAGTGCTTCAACTGCTTCAGAGGATTATGGGGGAAGCCACTCTTGCACAGTAACATCTTTTTTGACTTGATTTGAACTTCTATTTGAACTCTTATTATTATTCAGAACTCTAATTTTCCATACAGATTATTAAAATAAATACTGCATACTGCCCTTTCAAATTAAAGTTGATCATACTAGATGGCGCCACTAAGGCTTGACAAAATTTATGTAAAACCTTCACGCCTATGAATCACGACTTTTGTATATATATAATCATCATTTATTCATGCTCATATTCAATTTTCTGTACATATTTATGGCAATTAATGTAAATATCTCTGTTCAAGTTGTAATGTTTTCTAATCAAGTTTATATTTTCTGTACATTTTTCATGGCAATTACTGTAAATATCTCTGTTCAAGTTTGTATTTTCTCTAATGATGGTAATATTATTGTAAAGCTGCTTATATTCAAAATGTTTTTAACTCATTTTTGTAGTTTCATGATGAATGGGATAGGGGCTGCTGCGCGGCCCAGGTGCCCAGCTGTTTTTTTAAATAAAGTAAGAAAGTAAGTGCTCAAATGTCACCAGCAACCATAGGGATAGGGTGCCCAGCTCGAACCACAAGACAGTAAAGTCGTATTGAGTCCTTTAAAAAGTTTACAAAATTAACTAATAATCTGCAAATTTTATTTTGTAGTCGTTCCCAACTAATTTTTAAACATATTTTATTCAATCCGGAGCAGTTGACATCTTTGCAGATAAGAGACATTTTCTCAGTGGTTACGAGCAGAATAAGAGTTAAGAAAGTATTATCCGAACTATTGCATACCCTCCAACTTATGAAGATTTTGAAAATAATTCTTTCTAGTGGTAGCGAAGCAAAGTAGAAATTTTTAAAGCAAATGGATCTCTCATAAAACTTTTATCAGAACTTAAGAATCTAGCCATATGGCCTGCACTTTTATAAGTAATAGTGGACAAGTTACGCTAAAATAATTTTTTTTAAATATTAAGACATTAATTTTGCTACCGTCTGAAAAGAAGATTTCTGAAACTACGGAAATTCCGTAGCAGTTGGAGGGTATGCTATTGCATTATAGATTTATAAGAAGGTGGGCTAGAAGTTTCTGACTTTACTTTATTTACCACTACTTCATTTGAAATAAAATTCATGCAAGCATACTCATAACTGACGGAGAATAGATATGTTAAAATTAAAGTGAAAATAAGAACTATTCTGCTACATTAAACATACCCAAATTGATGCAACCACTTTGTGTTATTTTCCTTCATTAATAATCCTGAAAACGTTACTTACCTGCTTCATCCTCTAATCTCTTCAATTGTGGCAACTGATCTTCATCTTGACAAGGATTTGTAAGACGTTTTTGTAATGAGCAGACAATTGTA